CTGAATAATCATCATATTGAATTAAAGAGGAAATAATGTTGAACCAAGAATCATAATGAGTAAATCAATCTAATTTTGACTTTTCTTCCCATCACATCAAATAGATTGCAATAATTACTATCGACCAAAGTTTAAACATCTATTGATTTATTCTGATATTTATATTTTCCGGAACTACTTAGATTATGTAAATGAAATAATAATAATAATAATAATAATAATAATAATAATAATAATAATAATAATAATAATAATAATAATAATAACTAATGATCTGCCTTAATTATTCTCTAGATATCATCAATATGAACGAATGTAGATGGGCACTACTTAGTAAATTATCAACAGTTAGTTATCTTGATTCATTTACTTTCATCAGAAGGAGTTTCGTGGAGATTTTAGTAATTTCAATAGTTGGAATCATGAGTCAATTGAAGCTAGATCACTATGGAAAACTTAGAAGCACTGGACGGCCGTTTCGTCCTAGTATGGGACTCCTCAGTAGTGCTCATCCACGATCCCAAACCCCCCTGTGAGATTCGAACACAGCACCTATCAGTCTCGTGCGCAAACGCTTAACAATCAGACCACTGAGCTGGCCGGCATCCAACGGTGTTAATGTCTAACTTCAACTAATCCACGAAACTGAGCCACCGTCGAAATCTCCACAAAACCCCCTTCTAATAATAATCATCTGCTCACTAGTGACTGACTTCAAGAGGCATTTCCTGGAGTTCTAGTAAGAAGCCGTGACCAGTGGAGTTCAACGAGGTCATTTAATTTTGTAAAAGAAAGATGAATCTCAATTTAGATAATCAATAATAATACATCATTGTAAATCAAATCATGCAAAGTTAATATGATTTGTTATATGTTTAACTATTGAATATTAAATTATCATCTTTGACATTTTCAAAATGTTGTACAATTGTATTTTGAAATGAGAATTCGACATCTATTGATTATTACCTTCCCCTCCTCACCCCTTATTTATTTATTTATTTACTTACTTACGCCTGTTACTCCCAATGGAGCATAGGCCGCTGACCAGAATTCTCCATCCCACTTTGTCCTGGGTTATTCCTTTCCAACTCTATCCAATTCTTGTTCATTCTTCTCATGTCTTTCTCCATTTCTCGGTGTACTGTGTTATTTGGTCTTCCTCTCCTCCTTTGTTCTTAAGGATTTCATGTGAGGGCTTGCCTTGTGACATAGTTGGATGCTTTCCTCAATCTGTGTCCTATCCACCTCCAGCATTCCTTCCTGATTTCTTCCTCCGCTGGGATCTGGTTTGTTCTCTCCCACAGTACGTTGTTGCTAATATTGTCCGGCCAACGGATCTGAAGTATTTTGCGTAGACAACTGTTAATAAACACCTGTATCTTCTGGATGATGGCTTTCATAGTTCTCCAGGTTTCCGCCCCATACAGTAGAACTGCCTCGACATTTGTATTGAAAATCCTGACCTTGGTGTTGGTTGACAGTTATTTTAAGTTCCAGATGTTCATCAGTTGTAAATATGCTGCACTTGCTTTGCCGATCCGCGCCTTCACATCTGCATCAGATCCACCATGTTCATCAATGATACTGCCCAAATATGTAAAGGTTTTTACATCTTCCAAATCTTCTCCGTCAATTGTGATTGGATTGGTGCATGCTGTGTTGTATCGGAGAATCCTGCTTTTCCCTTTGTGTATATTGAGACCTACTGCTGCTGAGACTGCTGCCACACTGTTCATCTTCTCCTGTATCTGTTGTTGCGTTTGGGATAGAAGAGCCAGATCATGTGCAAAGTCTAGATCGTCCAACTGCATCCTAGATGTCCATTGTATCCCGTGCTTCCCTTCAGATGTTGACGTCTTCATGATCCAGTCGATCACCAGGAGAAAGAGAAAGGGTGAGAGTAAGCAACCTTGCCTAACACCGGTCTTCAATTCGAACGACTTTGTCAACTGTCCTCCATGCACGATTTTGCAGTGTAATCCATCATAGGAATTCCGTATGATATTGACTATCTTCTGAGGCACGCCGTAGTGTCGAAGAAGTTTCCATAGTGTTGTTCTGTCCACGCTATCAAATGCCTTTTCGTAGTCAATGAAGTTGATGTAGAGTGATGAATTCCATTCAATTGATTGTTCCACAATGATCCGTAGAGTTGCGATTTGGTCTGTACACGATCTATCCCTACGGAATCCTGCCTGTTGGTCTCGAAGTTGGGAGTCTACGCAGTCCTTCATTCTGTTTAACAATACCTTGTTGAAGACTTTTCCTGGTATTGAGAGAAGAGTGATGCCCCTGTAGTTATCACAGTTGCTGAGATCGCCTTTCTTTGGTATCTTGATCATGTGTCTTTCTTTCCAGTCTGTTGGTACTTGTTCTTCATCCCAAATCTTATTGAAGAGAATGTGGAGTATCCTTGCAGTTACCACTACGTCTGCTTTCAGTGCCTCTGCTGGAATTTTGTCTGATCCTGCTGCTTTGCCGCTTTTGATTTGTCCGATGGCCATGCTGTTCTCTTCAATTGTTGGTGGGCCAACATCGATTGGAAGGTTCGTGGGTGCTACTTCGATGTTGGATGGATTCAGTGAGGCTGGTTGATTCAAGAGTTCTTTGAAGTGTTCTACCCACATGTTTCGCTGTTCTTCAATGTAAGTGATTAACTTGCTTTCCTTCTTTTTACTGGTCGTTCTGGTTTACGATAATTTTCAGTGAATTTCTTTATTTCATACAGTTGTCTCATGTTTCCTTCTCTTGCAGCCTTTTCTACCGTCATTTCTAAATCCTCCACATATTTACATTTGTCGGTTCTGATGCTCCTCTTCACTTACCTGATTACTTCTATGTATTCAGCTTGTGCCTCGGCTTTTTCTGCTCTTGTTCGGCTGGTATTGATTACTGCCCTCTTGTCCCTCCTTTCTTGATTCTTATCTAATGTATCAACAGTTATCCAGTGGCCCAGAATCTCATGACATGTTGAAGTGTTTGCCTCTTTTATCCCTTTCCAGTTGCTCTTCATAGTAGTTCCTTCTCCACCGAGTAGATCATGAAAGGCCTGGAACTTAAACTTTTTTGATATTGTCCACCCCGTTGTCCAGTGCTTCTTGAGTTTCAATTTCATCTTGGCGACCAACGAACGATGATTTGATGCTATATCAGTTCCTCATTGATTCTCACATCCTCCATTGTCCTTCTGAACGTTTTGTTGATGCAAATATGGTCGACTTGGTTTTGCGTGGTGCGATCCGGTGAAGTCCATGTGGTTTTGTGAATGCGTTTATGTGGGAATATAGTGCCACCTATGACCAGTTTATTGAAGGAACATAGGTTTGCAAATCTCTCACCATTTTCGTTCCTTCCTCCCAGTCCGTATCGTCCTATGATGTCTTCATATCCGGTTTTGTCTATTTCAACCTTGGCATTTAAATCTCCCATCAGAATGGTCAAGTCCTTTGTTGGGCACTTCTCGATGATTGACTGCAGCCTATCGTAGAATTGATCTTTAAGGTCTTTATTGTAGTCGTTGGTAGGCGCATAGCATTGGATGATGTTCATTGTAATGACATCTTTCTTTGTTTTGATGGGGGATTTGATGATCCTTGGTCCATGAGATTCCCATCTTGTTAGTGCATTTTGTGCTTGTTTGGACAGCATCAATGCAACTCCTTGTGTATATGGGGCATTTTCTTCTACATGGCCAGAGTATAACAGAAGCTCCCCTGAAGCTAGTCGTTGTTGTCCAACTTGCGTCCAATGTGTCTCACTGATCCCAAGCACCTCTAGGTTGTATCTCCTCATTTTTTGCAGCAATTTGGAAGACTCTCCCGGTCTACTACATTGTACTAGCATTCCATGCACCTAAATAAATGATTGCTCTGATTGTCAGAAGGAACATCAGCCTCGTGGCTTCTGAAGGAACTCGGCTTTCACCATGAGGCGTCATAGTTCTTCTAAATGAAGACCTTCTGACTCCCAGGGCAGAATTTGAATAATTTTTTTCTGGCTAGAGTTTTTTTAGCGAGTTAGTTTTCTACGGGATGGGGTCGCTAACCCTATGCCCAACCCTCCTTCTTTATCCGGGCTTGAGACCGGCAGTAGCTCCTGGAGGGGATCCAGGCGGAGTTATAGCATAACTTGTCAGATAATAAGTAATTAATCGTGTGACAATGAAAGACACAAAGCAATCCGAGACCTTTTAAATGTTCCTATTATATTCCTCCTTCAATGTGATTGAAATTTTATCTAAGCTTTATCCTCCGCTTGACCTTGAGAATTTAATTGATATCTGTCTATGCAATCTACACTTGTTAATCACCTCGCAGTATGTATTAGCTTATGTATAAGCTATTTTAACCATTCGAAATTTGTTTACGACCAAAAAAATAACAAATGTAATCCTCAGATATCAGTAATAATGATAGCAATAATAATAATAATAATAATAATAATAATAATAATAATAATAATAATAATAATTGTAAATAAAAAAATCAGGTTCATTGTCTAACTCTTTGTCCAGTTGAAAAGTCTTTCCAGTAAGAAAAATCAATTATGAATACCTTTTATCTGTCTAACAGTCTATCACAAAATAAGAAACATTGGTTCAGCGAAGAATTCTCATTTCGGTGAATTCATTTTCGAAACTGTACAGTCGCAAATATATACATATTTTTCAAAATGATAATAATCATGAAGGTAGATAAGGAAATTATAATTTGGAAGGAAAGGTGCAGTGTGATAAGATAGTGTTGGAATTGAGATGAACTGTAAGCAGCAGGAAACAGACAATTCAGTTAAGAGTAAAAGATCTACAGACAACTGAAAGCAAAGGCTGTGCGAGAAGAAAGGAAAGAATGGGAAAATACGAGAGATTAAAACCATGATAGAAGAGGTTGTACAAGTTTCTTTTGTACACATGATCCTAGTTTTTCCAAATGTATAGCCAGTATTTTGACAATGCTAAAAAGATGGAAGATAACTGCCTTTGGTAGATTTCCATTTACCTCATAGATGACTGAACACATGGTCCGTTTTCATCCAATGACCTGTGTTCACAAGATGTTCGGTTATAGAGCTTCTCATTGAGCCGTTTCCGCCTCTTTTCATCTAAATTTGGTAATGTTTTTGAATTCTTTTGGATAAAATGCACATTGAACCTATATACCTAATTTCATAAACAGGCAAATTAATAAACACATATAGAATGGGCCAAATGAGATAATTTATCCTCTAGATTATTGGTGAACATTTGTCAGCTGGGCAACACTAATAGCGAATTCCCTGTGAAGAACGTTCTATTGAGAGTTGGAAGTTCTCCTCTTCGAGTATCTGTACCTATATCCCCTTTGAAATCGATGTTCGTGTAAAGAGTTTTCTTTTACACAGAGGTAATTCTTTCTTAATGTGGTTTAATTTCTTATGTTCCTGTCAATAAATACAGATGGACATCCGTTTTCGATATGTATTTTCTTAATGAGGTTCAGTTCGTTATCTAAGACCTCAGAACTACAAATTCTTCGTATCCGTGTTCCAAAGGATATAGTTAAATTTCTCTTCCGACTAATGAGGACTCAGTTGTGAAAACTAACAGCTGGTCATCTTATAAGGGGTTTCCTGTAGATTGAACTTCGTAGAGTTCTGTGTATTGGTTGAGATTGAATACTTACTTTGTTGCCTTTAATATTATTACTTTTTATCATTACTACTAAGGGTAATGTGCTTTATAGTCCTGAAAATTACTTTAATATTGTCGACTTGCCTTCACGTTATATATAGTAAATTATTATACACATGGCACTTCTAATTGATGTGAGTTTAGTAAACTTTATTTATCTGGATGTCTTCTGAGGTAAGATCAATTTTATCGCTTACAAGTGTATAAACTATAAAACACCGAACAACCATTCTGTTATGTAGAATAGGTGAGTTGCGGCTAGCAGTGGAATAAATGACTCGTATTTCGTCTTATCTGGGACTTTTGAGATGAACTTATCTGCATCCTGGTTTTGAAATTCCCAGTGAAACTCAAACCCAGAACAATAATGTATTATTCAGTGTACAACTTGGTCCAGACAGATGTTAACTTGTCCAACGACCATGATATTTACGTTCAAACGTTCACTAATAATGATATGAACCTATTAAGAAAAACTCATAAGTAGTACACTTCCTTTACTACGACCAGGAATCAATCAAGTTAATGGTTCATTAAGAAGAAAACTCTACTGATTGCACAACTAAGTGTATAACTAATTGTTTAAAATAACTAACTGACTAATAATCTCCATTGTAACCCACCTTCTAAATCAAAATTGACATCTAATAAACACAAATTATCCTACAAAACAAAAAATGTATTGGGTTTCGTCAATACTTAACCGTGATCAAGTTAAAATTTTGAAGTGACTTTGTTCCTTGTAAGCGTTAAGCTAAGTGACAAGTGGCTATCAGTATAATTAGCTAGGCGGATAATGCGATGGTGTTCGAAGCGAACGGTACTGGGTTTGAGTCCCAGAATGGACATCAACTGTGGGATGCAGGCACATCTAACTGACGAGTCCCAAGTTAAATTAGCTTGTGTTGGTATGGTGTTTGTATAAACTAATGATTCCTTAGTACTTGATGACTGCCTGATTTCGAATTCTAAATGCAATACATTCGTTTGTACTCACCTAGTTCTTTGTGGCTTGAATTGCTTTATTTCGGGAATTCTTAGTTCGTACAATAATTCAAACACTTCTAATCATCACAGTTGGACAAATCATGCGTTTGATAAATTCGAAAAAAAAGATAAGAAACTGGGATCTTATAAATTATCAGCTTTTCATCCGCATGTATTTCATTTAGACATTGCTAGAATAAGATATATGTGAGTTACAATGATCGTTTGTTTTGTATACATTCCCCAAAACCGAAAATGATTGATATACTAATCCATCCGTCCACGTAATGAAACGAATTAAATTACATATTACCCATAAATTGAAAGTAGACGAACGTCACTAATAAGTAAAATTTGAGCCAATCATTTTCTTTGTAACTTTCGATGGATAAGGTAATTGGTTTGCTTTTAGTATTTAAGCATAAAACTTTTCACGAACATTACCTCTCTTACAGCTTCTTCTAGAGATCTCTCGAAAGTAGTATTACAATTTCCTTGCTTAATTTTATACATTTTAGTCATCTTCCTCCTTCGAAAATAAATGTCCTTTGTGTATAATATGAATTCATCAGAAACACTTTCAGGGTTCCAATGGTATTTTGCAATAATACCTCTTCAAAATGTACTGTAAATAATCATAATAAAACCCACATTTTTTGCTAAAATGTTCTTTATAGAGCAAACGCTTTTACGAATATAACAGACAGTATTATGACTAGATTCGGCTGATGTGACCATTAAGTAAGTTGATCTGTTAAAATTACGCTTATCATGTTAAAGAAGTATCTTTAATGCTTATACTTATTGTCAAAACAAATTGAATGTATCCAAACAGGCTCTAGTTCTCTTGGTTTCGACTCTCCTCTACTGGCCTTGTATTTGTTTAACTGTGCTAAAATATATAACTATTTATAGTGAATAATTTCAAATTCTTTATTGATATCTAGTTAATATAATGTATTTTTATTGCGGTCTTTTTCCAAATTATTGTTAACATTTGTATTGTTTTATATTTTCAGTTAAATTTTGTGAGGAACATTATATATCAGATGGACCATGTGGTTTCTATCAGTATAGGTTTGAGAGGATTATGAAGTTTTTGACGGAGATCATGAGCCGATTGATGTTAGACTACCATTGAGAACCTGGAAGCACTGGACGGTCGTTCCTCCCTATTGTGGGACTACTCAGCAACGTGCACTCACGATCCGGCTCACGGGGTTCGAACCCAGAGCCTTCAGTCTAGCGCGCGAACGCTTAACCTCTAGACCACTGAGTCAGCATCCAACTGTGTTAATGTTTACTTTCAACCTATCCACAAAATTGCGCAACCATCTTCCATTGTACTGAGCAGATACCTGTCTCTACCCAACACGGATTAACTCCACTGGCAACGGCTTCCATAGTTTCTACCACAATAATGGTTAATCCACCAATTCTGCTACCGTGTTTTTTCCACCAATAATAGACCATGGAAATTCTCAATTTTCCAGTCCTTCAATTCGTACAACAGCAAAACAGATAAATGATCATAATTAACTTTTTTACTGTGTGTGCGAAATTTAAGTTGTAAGAGTGATTAAGGTTGCTATACTGTTACTGCCTCTTACAGAACGGATACTTGTACTCTTAACAAAAAGTCGCCGTAAACTGGAATCGTCTTACTGAATATATTTTAGAACTAAAACCATTTAATTACAAAATATTTATTCAAGACTGTAGGTAGGACTATCACTACTATGGATGGTTTATGGAGATTGATTGCTGTTTTTATCACGAAATAATATTAACAAGAAAACTATTGAAAACCAGAGAACATTGGATGGTTGTTTTACCCTATCATCAAACTTTTCAAAATTAATTGACCAAGGATTGATGAAGAGTTGTTCGTTAAAAATATGTGTAAAAAACTATTCGAGATCACCAAAATCAAAAATGAAGGTCATTCAACAACCAATTACTATCCACTTCTGAGTAACATCAAACAAATGGTAGCATGAAATAGAGTATGATGTTCTAAAAAGCCTACTATTTATATTTATATTAAATGCAATAAATTATAGGTTAATTAGTTTTAAAATTTATAGAATCAGTGTTTTGGCTCCTTATCATCTTACTACTGCTAATACTACTTGCCAAGGGAATTTTGAAAGCTCCATCATTTAATATTTGCTGATTGTTTTTTCATTCAACCGAGATTATTATCCTTATCTTATTCGCTGAAATATTGAAGCATCTACAACCGTCAAATAATAATTCTTTTTCTTCAATTGGAGTAAGTGGGTGAGATTTGACACTTCTTCCCTAGACCTCAACGAAACCGTTGTAATGTACATCTTTCAGTATAGCACACTGAATCGGCAACTGCAGTTCATTTCTTTAAGATATCGATTATTTTAGTATTTTCCCATGAGAATATATGTTACTACGCCTTTCTTGAAAAGCAAACGGTGACGTTTTATAGTTTACTTCACGGACTGACCTTAGTTAGATAACCATTGAAAACCGAGAAGCATTAGATGATTTTCCAGTAATGTATATTTACATTACCACCATGGATCGAACCCAGGAAATTCATGTCTAGCAGTGATCACTTAAGTTTTGGACCATGTGGTCGTAATGTCCCAGGTCCAATTCCTGGTGGAGCCACAGATCCATACAACTAAGAAGTTCAGTCCTAAGACGAAACAGTATTCTACAGCTTCTTGGTTTTCAGTGGTTGTCTATCTAAGGTCAGTTCATGATATAAATTAGATAAGTCAATAACCTCCACAAACTCTTTAAAGAGTGAGGTAATTTATTAAATACGACATTAATAATGCACATAGCTGATTGTGAAAGTTCCTGGCCATCTTAAAATCGACGATATATGAATCACGATTTTAAATGAAAAAAGTACTGAATCTTACCGTTTATTTTTTAAATGACAAGATCCAGAACATTTATTTCGTTCGTCCAAGAAAGCTATGCATGTTGATGACTGATCAAACAATGTTAAATATTTACGATTGGCTGATCACTGAGTAGTGACCAATGTCACATTTATCAGTTCTGTAGTGCTGATCGAATTCTGTTGATCAGTTTGCAATTCTGTCACTAGTCTAAGTGATTGGACATCACATGCACTATGTTTAAATGTTAAGTGGTTGGACATAGTTGAAAAGAAACACTGATTGACCTAGGTTTCCTTCCATTTGACACTCATCAGTAAAGTGTACCTCTGATATTGTGTCATTTGATACTCCCTAGCTAATTCGAAATCGGGCCGTACATCTTCCAAGTCAGAAGACGTTACCGCTGAGCTACTCAGCCGGTGACTGACCCCCTGTAGGACTGAGATATTTTTAAAATTGATTGATCACTGAGTAGCGACTAAAGTCATGTTTCCCAAGGGGCAACGGTTCCACTCAATTTACAGGTACTACTTCGTGACGAGTGCTTAATAGCACAAGATCTAAGTCAAAAGTGGTCCTTGTTGGCTACCGGAAACCACCAAAGAAATA